TAGCAGTATTAGTAGTAGCAGTAGCAGGTTGGTTGTTACCAGCATCATCCTTATTATTGTGTTCGCGGCAACTGAAAAAGCCCACAGCCATTCTCAACAGCATGGGCGGTGGTTTTGTGATTGAGCTGCTGCTTATACCATCACGCGCCGAAGTCATCCTGAATGCCTCCGTCGCCCGAGCAACCTGAACTGTCTCGAAGACGCAGGTGTTTCAGGTCTTTCTGTCTGCCGAGGCCGATGTCGATGCTCACAGCACGCTTCTTTTTCGGGCTGGCGGCTCAGTCGAACGGCGAAGGAGGCTGAACAGGAGCCCAACTTCCGTAACCGGGATCTGCTTTTGTCTAGCATTTCGTCCTTCAAAACCTTCTGAAGTAAGCTGTATGCTGAAGGCCAGGGACTGCGCGTGCAACTGCAGAAGCTGCGGTTCCACTTAAGACCGAACAGATGGATGAACATGCGTGTGTGAGTGTGTGTCGTATGAATGTATCCATGGTAGAGTTGGATATGTAGTTGATGATGACCCTGATAATACAGACTGCCAATTATTGCATATGACAAATGTTTGAGGCCAGTAACCGTGCTTCTTGCCGACAATCTTATGATTCCCCCATGTATTCCAACGCTCATCCTTAATGCGCAGAACGGTATCAATATCACCTCAGATTGGCGCGATCCCAGACCACACTGCCAGCAGCTTCAATGCCAATATTGCAGCATTCTTAATGCGAAGACTGGTCGTGCCACTAGTTAATTAGTTCCAGTGATAGTACGAAAGCGTTCGCCAAGGCAATGCTGACAGCTGTATGAATATCAAGGTTGCAGATTGCCCATGAACACTTTACTGATGCTTGCTGGTATTGACCTTACAGTGACTCCGAGTGCTGCACTGCTGTATCGTTGTCGCCATTCTTGGTGTCCATTTGTCCCGGGTGATTGCAATACGCAGTACATCCTCGCATTGCATGTATGACATGAAACTGAGGCTTTTCTACGGCTTTGGGATGGGGCCTGCATTGACGCTGCAGGCCACCATGGATTTCGACACTTGGGGACTTGGGGATTTGCTGTGCCTCCAACGTAGGCCATGTCGCTTGGGATGTTTGGGCGCTTCTTCCCTTGGGTTTCGGCGACTGGTGTTCAAGCTTCGGGTTGATAGAACCCGCCCAGCACAAGACGAGCTCATGAGGCGTATGCAGGGTTGCAAGAAGACCGCAAACCTCACGGCATGACGTCGCACTACAGCGATGTTCCGTCGACTCGCAAACATGTCCGACTGGACCTGTCCTTAACCAAGTATGTTGTTCTGAGCATGTTGACTTTACTGTGCAATGCTTCTTCTGGATGTGACCGTGCATTCTGCCGTGTAGCGACGAATATGCGATGCCTCACAGTTCGGCTGCCCGCTGATATCTTGGTCTTCAAGGGTGGAGTAGACGTTTCGGCCACAAAGGCCATTCTTGGGTGTTTATGCTTCCAGAGCAGGTTGCCAAAACTTGAGCAGAGTGGAGCCTTTTCCGATACCTTGCTGGGAGCGGTGGGTGAAGCTGAGGCATCTTGAGGCTTACTAGGCCGGGTGCTCACTTACTCCAGACCACACATCACACCTCACTCTTCTGCAGGATGGTCGGTTGCATAGAGCGAGTCAAGCCGATGGACGTGAGATTTAGGCTCTCTCGCAAGGTGGAGATCTGTCCGAAGGCCTGGCGCGGACACATGGTGAACGCCTGCTTCTTAGCTTCGGTCTGCGGGTCACTGGTGGATCCTGGTGGATTTCGTGGTGAATGTGGTAGCTGAGGCTCTGGAGCGCAGGGTAATCATGTGTTGCTTGCCTTTTTTTGTGCGAGGTGAACAACTTCTTCTTCACACTAGGCGAAGTCTATGCAGCCGCCGACTTACTCTTCGCCTCTTAGTCGGTACACAAGTGAGCAGCTTTGACTCGAGAAGTCAGAGGCTTGGTTGCTCTGGGCCTTCTTGAAAGACTTGAAGCAAACCAGCGACGAGGAGCTACTGGTGGCTCCCGAGTGTACTGCATGTTTTTTTTTTTTTTTTTTTTCTCAGCTTTTCTGCACCTGCACTGCATTGTTATGTTTGTGTTTCGCCCTGGAGCTTGTATGGACTTATCAAGAGCCACATCTGTTCTGCTACTGTCCAGGCCGCGGCGATATCGTGGAATTGATTGCTTTCGGTGAGTCATACCTGTCATGACCCATAAAGTGAGCCATCCACGCTTTTCATCTGGGCGTGCTACACCAGCAGAGCGGTCACAGTAGTAGTGAGAACAGTGACGATGGCAAAAACAATGACCGAATCGTTGGTCATGAACTGAACTGACAAGTCCGCAGGAGAGTTGGCGCTACGTCACAGCACTGGCCGTCAGCCTGGACCTTTGCATTTTCACGGAACTTTTCAAACAGAAAAGGAGTTGGGGACAGGTGGCAGGGTAAGCTTGGTTATGCTGAAAGCGCTTGAATTCGAGTTTTTGCCGAGTGACGAGGGCGCTGAGGTTGATGATGACGCTGATGATGCTGCCGCTGATGATACGACAGCGCTTGTCGGAGCGGTGAGGGTAGGGGCGGATGTGGTCGGTGTTGCTGCTTCTGCTCCCGGTGGTTTTGGTGGTGGTGGTGGTGATGATGATGTTGCTGCTGTTTAGACGGTGGCTGTCACGACGTCCACCTCCACCTCTGCCGCAGGACTTCTGGCGTAAGGTCATCGAAGCGATTTTTTTGCAATTATGGTGCAAGCCATACCTCCTTTGGTTCCGTGAGTGGAAAGTTTTGCACGAGTTCCTTCAGCAGTCATTCAGCCCTTCTATTTCCGGCCGGGTATCTGCGTCGGGCTGGGCTCATTGCAGCGCAGGCGCGGCTGCTTGGAGAACCCACAATTGGCCCTATCAATGTGCCGGTTGCAAAAAACCGTGGCTACATCTCATTTCCCAAAACTTCTCTCATGAACGACACCCCCTGTTTTTTCGATTTGTTTTCCAGCTATCTATGCTGTGCTCATCCATGCACGAAACTCAGTCACTGCAAACCGTGAGCCTCAAGACACCAAGCCGAAATCCTGAAATCCGAGGCCTTCCACAGCTCAACCTCGTCCCTATCAAACACGATATGGCAGAAGACCTAAACGCGAGCCCCAATCCCCCCAAATAGTCCCAACATACCCTCTAGCGGGGCCCTAGCATGTCGTAAAGCCCCAAACTCTAGGCCCAGGCTTTAAACCCAAACTCTCAAAAAAATCCTAAACCCTACGTACTGCGTAAACCCTAAACTCGACAAACCCCAACCAAGTGGTTTGTTCGTTCCAGGTCCGGCCTTGCTAATCCTGCCCTTCGCCGTGCCCGGGCCCTTACCGCCTGAGACATCCGACCGGTTTAGTGCATTTAGGGTTCAGGGTTTATGAAGCAGTCCAGTTTTTGGGTTTAGGTCTTGGTCTGTAGGAACCGTAAGGTTCTAGGATTCTCAGGCTTCGGAGTGAAAGGCTTCAGGCTCTTGAGGGCATCTCGGATGCGGTTCTGGTTCGAGTCGCCTACTGCGTTTTGCACCAGGCTGCTCTTATACGAGTCGCCGCACTACCTAGCCAGGGGCCAAGACGGCGGGCTCTCCTTCCTAGCAAAGTGGGATGTGAAGGTTGGAAGCACGCTGAGCTCGTTATCTCAAGAACATGCGAGTCTGTGGGCACGGTTTCGTTGGGAATCGTGCGTGGATCCAGAGAGAGTTTCACAAGCGTAGCCAAATCGGCATTGAATGTCAGGTTGTTTGTGGGAAGCACGACCAGGCGGGTTGTAGCAGTACCCGCGCACGGTAATTGTCGACTCTGTCTTGGCTTGTCTTTCTAGCAGAGCCCAAGGAATTTACAGGAATCCGGGGGCTGTTCGGCTTATGCACCTGTGGCCCTTCTGTTGAGCATTTGGTGTCTTGCAGCTCGTGCTGTACTTGAGTAACGTCTGTGTTGCTCTTGTTCTGTGTTTCATTGCTTAAACTATTTGGGGCATGTGTGATGATCGCGATTTGGCACTGTTTATTCTGCTGCAAGCAGTCCGAGCAGTTTCTCCATCTGACCCGAAGCCTCCTCCGCAGCACTTTTTTGGCTGAAAACCAAGTGCTCCTTTGAGAGTACAAGGCAGGGAGCGTTTGGGAGAACGGAGTTCATGGAGTTGGGTGGAGTTGCTAGCGGCTTTTTAGACATGATGCCTTCTGAAAGGGCAGAAGGCATGGCTGCATGGCGCAGGGTTCATGTCAACGCGTGTGAGTCACGAGTAGCAACTACCCCTACCTCCCCATGATTGCAATGTTGTGGCAGGCCGCCTGTGTCATTCTTTGCACCCCGAAAGCAAGAAGATGGAGCGCAAAGCCTTCTCCAGGCAGGCAGCCACATTGACGTAGCCTGTGCTTCATTACATAAACTGTCAAAGCATGATCGGTGCGGCTGCGTGCCGTTCCAACAGCACCCAAAACCTACCCAAGCAACTAGAAAGCGGACCCTTGAACTGCCCTTGAACCAAAAATCCTAAACTCCTCAACCCTGGACCCTACCCAAAAACTCACAAGGCTCAACCCATCTAGACCAGTGGGGTAAAAGAGCTGCCAGCAGCCCGCCTCTTTGGTGTTCAGGGTTTTGCTTTAGGAATTTGTGGGTTGAAAGCTTACTTCAGGAGTTTTGAGGTTTTGAGTTTGCTTCAGGAGTGTTTGCGGTGCAGGGTTACTGGAGGTCATCGCTGTACCTGCGAGAAAAATCTCAGTTACTTGGCAACTCTCCTTATTCTCTTAATGTTGAAGGATGTTGAAGCCTTTTTTGCATCCGCTTCTGCTTCTTGCTATCAGTGATCATGCCCAACAAAGGTGGTCAGGGCAGGGGGACGCGGTGAGGCCTGCTCCTAGCTTCTGGGATGAATCTGTTGCTATTGGTGCAAAAACTACAGGGGCCTTAATAATTAGAATAGGGTTTGGGGGTTATAGTATCCTATAACTATAAAAAGGAATCCCCAGAACCCTGTTCTGATTATTGAGGCCCCTACATTACTTTCTGTTGTACTGGTCGCTCTCAGTACCCTGTCCATGATTGCCAGGGCGACCAGTGTTGTTCTATTCTCCTTATCATGCCACTTGTAGCTTTGCTGCCTTAGTCTTGACCGCGATTTTTGCTATGATGTTATGTGTGCTTTTGTTACTCTCAGTAGTATCGTCGATCTTTCTGTCGTACGTTTACTGTTGCTGTCATTCCTACTGCAGGACCAATGACATCGAGATTGATGCCATGGGCCCACTTTCAGACTCCGACTGTGATGTTCAGGTCCGCGGGCTTGTTCATCTTTAGCGTGATCACGTTCTTTGGACATTTGGATTTGGCGGTCTGGGTTTGGATGTTTGGAGTTGAGAGCGTTTAGCCTCGAGCTGCAGCAGCTGCCGCTGCTACACTACCGCCACCACCACTACCACTACCACTACTGCCACTACTACCACTACTACCACAACAACAACAACAACAACAACAACTACTACTACTACTACTACTACTGCTATTGCTGCTACTACTACTACTACTACAACAACTACTACTACTACTACTACTACTGCTATTGCTGCTGCTACTGCTACTACTACTACTACTACTACTACTACTACTACTGCTACTACTGCTATTGCTGCTACAACAACAACAACAACTACTACTACTGCTATTGCTGCTACTACTACTACTACTACTACTGCTACTGCTACTACTACTGCTACTACTACTACTGCTACTACTACTACTACTGCTATTGCTGCTGCTACTACTACTACTACTACTACTACTACTACTACTATTACTACTGCTACTACGGCTATTGCTGCTGCTACTACTACTACTACTACTACTACTACTACTACTACTCCTGCTGCTGCTGCTGCTGCTGCTGCTGCTATTGCTGCTGCTGCTACTACTACTACTACTACTACTACTACTGCTAACTACTACCACTGCTGCTAGCATAGACGTACTACCAAAAGCTCCCAGAGCTTCCCTCCAAACCCTGAACCCTGATGCCGCAACTGGGCCTACAGTGCAAATCCCAAAAACCCAGAGCCTTGAACTCTGAACCGTACAAGGCCCTTCCCTACATGCCTCGACCCTAACCCTCAAAGCCGAAACCCTGAACCCTAAACCCTAAACCCCAAACCCGAAACCCCGAAGCTTAAACCCTAAACCCTGAACCCTAAACCTCAAACAGTGAACCCTAAACCCCGAAACCCCAAACCCTAAACCCTAAACCCTCAAGACCCCATAAATTGAGCTTAAACCCTGAAACCCTGAACCCTAAACCCTAAACCCTAAACCCTAAACCTCTGAACCCCGAAGCCCAGGAGTTCGCTGCCCAAAAGAAAGCCATGGCCTCCCTGGCTCGGCGAAGGGGATCCTACGGGCGCCAGTCTTTTGAGGTCGGGGTGTCGTTTTGTTTTGGTGTTTAGGGTTTAGGGTTTCGAGTTTAGGGTTTAGGGTGTGGGGTTCAGGGTTAGTTCCGGGTTTAGGGTTTAGGGTTATACAGGGGTTTAGGGTTTGGGGTTCGGGGTTTAGGGGTTTTGTGGTTTAGGGTTTGGGGTTCGGGGTTTAGGGTTTTCAGGGTAGGGTTTGGGGTTCGCGGTTTTGGGGTAGGGGGTGAAAATAGCAAAAGGGAGGGCAGTCGAGATAAGAACAGTGGAGCTTAGTTGTGTAGGTTCCGGGGCTGAGGGTCCAGGGCTTTGGGAGTTTAGTGTTTCCAGGTTGAGGTGTTACAGTAGGAATAATAGTTTATTCAGTACTGTACAGATGCTCGCCTGGCACATAAATTCTTAAATTCACAGGCAAACGGCTATGCTGGTGCTCCTATGAGGCCATCCAGCGAAGACAGAATGCCAGAAAAACTGAGAACTCAGCGCTTGCACCCTGAGCTAGCTAAACAAAAACCCCACCCCTGGAGCAGAAATCTACAAGCTGGTAGTGTGCACTCGGGCGCACAAATCTGAGCCTTTCAAGCCCAGGCAAGGGACGTTATCCCACCCCGAAGCGGAAGGTATCCATCCATCCATCCATCCATCCATCCATCCATCCATCCATCCATCCATCCATCCATCCATCCATCCATCCATCCATCCATCCATCCATCCATCCATCCATCCATCCATCACGTTTGTGTGTATCTAG